GCGCGTCTTTTAGTGTCTGCTGCACCTTATTGTGACACTATTACCATCTGTTGACATTTTATTGATCTAACTCATCGATTAATCAAGAGAATGATCACAATCAATAAAATAATATAAATAATCGTAATAAAAGAAACTTCCAAACTATCTCGTTTGTCTTTGAACTTCTGCTTCATGCTGCATAACAACAGTATCAGGTGTTCATTTCTAATGGAGCTGCAGTGATTAATCCATTAATCAATAAGTCACAAAGTGATCGGAAACTATTTTGATACTCGATTAATCATTTAGAGTTTTTTTTAAGAGATAATGTCTCAAATATGAATATTTTATTGTTTCTTTCGTCCCCTCTTTGTGTGGACAAACGAGACATTTTAGGACGTGATCAACTTTTTCCACCATCATTGATTAACCTGTAGATTATCTTCCCCACTAATTGATTAATTGTCTTGCGCATACAGTGTTAGAGAAAATGCAAAGCTCAGTCTTTAGGTGTCTGGTTTCGTCAGAGAAACGAGACGTTTGAGGACATTTTCTGCACCAAATAAGAAACGATTACTGGAGAAACTGATTGATTACTGGACTGACTGTGTGTTTGTGTGTGTGTCTCAGGATGCTCGTAGACCTCCTGTGTGTCTCTCTGTCATCATCAGGCAGGTTGTCGCTCACACTTTCTCGGCGTGGTCTCGTGCACGCCTCAGAGCCAATCAGAGTCCAGAGTGTTTGCACCGTCGGCTCCACAGAGGGGTTGATACCTCTCGCTCTCTCTGTACCCGGCCTCTATTTATAGACCCGCCTTTTTTAGATAAGATTATGTTCCATCCCCCGACCGGCCGACAGGAGGAGGAGGAGGAGGAGGAGGAGGAGGGGTTAACATGCAGTTCAGAAAGGTGTGGAGAGGAGGAGGAGACAGTTTGAGCTGAAAGCTGTTAATATTTTGACATTTTAACTTTCTCCAGCAGCGTTATGTTAATCTTCTGTTCTTGTGTCTTTAATCAACAAGTGAAACTGATGAAGGTCCAACGGCTGCTGAGTCAGTTGGTTCATTTAATCGTTGGTCAACTGTAGTTGGGCTTGAAACATGTTTGTTTTCTTTAAAACTTAACTTTTATAGTTGTTAAATCTTAACTTCTTAAACATTAAAGGTGTTTTTAGGATTCTTTGAGTGTTAAAACTTTTGAAGCATCTCAGTGTTTCTTTATTAATCCTCAACTGTTCTCTCATGTGACAGTGAATGAGAATCTTTGGGTTTCAGACTAAAGATCTGCGTTTTTCACCATTTAATAAACGAACTGACAGATGAAGGAATCAATAATTGAACTGATAGTTGAAATTCCTGCCGGCTGCAGCAGAGTATTGGTGGTGTAAAGCAGTGAGCAGTCATCAGGGTGGAGACGCTGTGTAATGTGGGGGTGGGGAGTGTGGATGTAGACACAGAGGTGTGGAGGAGGAGGAGGAAGGGCGGGGGTCGAACCGTTACACCTCTGGTTTGAACAAATGGTTGTTTTGTAGTTGAATTAGCAGCTGAATGAGACGGTGGGTGAAGCTCTCGGTGCTCTGGGCTCTAACATTCTCACTGCTGAGCTTCCAGGAAACGGCGTGAACGTTCAGTGAGTCAGCGTTTGGGTCGATGTATCAGACAGACGCTGAAGGTGTGTAGCTGAGTCACGGGTGGAGCTGCTGATGATGATGAGGAAGGATGATGCTGCAGGTTTTTTGTCCCCAAAAACGAAACAAAGAGTGACGTAACATTTGATTATTTGTTCATTCCCGAAGATAAGGCCAACTTACTCAAAGTTTCTTGAGCTTTCAGCCACATTTCTTGGCCCTGATCACTGGACAGACTCCGTTCTGTGCAATGAAATCAATTAAAAGTGAATATTTGTTATCAGTTAACTGAGATTTGATGAGTAAACCATCTCTGACGTCCACCGAGGAAGACCAGATAACGTGTGTAAAAGCTCTGGAAACACCAGCTTTTCCTGTCCTTCCTCCTTTGTCTGACTCCTTTTGCTCGCTTCCAACATAAAACTCTTGACGACACGCCGTGGTCACGTGACGCTCCACCTGTAGAGGCCGCGGTGGCGACCCCGTTCCCGAGATAACCGATAAACCGATCGATCGCTTTGTACGCGCTCAAGACTGAACACGGAGTCCTCCCAGAGACACAGCGAAGGATGAGTGTAATATGAGACGTGGGATGAATAGCGCTAAAGTAGGACAGACACACAAACACACACAGAAACACACAACACACACACACACACAAAATCAGGTCAGCATGTGCAGGCAGGGCAACCAAAAGCCTCTTTGCCCCGGGGAGGGGGTGGTGACTGTGTGTCTATGTGTGTTTGATGGGTAGCAATTAGATTAGGCGTTTTTCACTACTGTCAATAGCCTCGGAACCTCTCAAGTTTCATTCATATCCCGCGTGGCAGATCACTGTTACATAGCAGCAAATCCACGCGCCGCTGTGGCAAACGTTCGTTCATCTGGGTCATCTCACTCATCACCGAGCCACTGGAAAATATCTGTCTGCAGTTTGGGTGTTTTTGTTTCATTCACTTTTTTACTTGTGTTACCATGAAGAAATCCCACACCCGCCCCTTCTATTTTTGTCATATTATAGTTCTTGTTATAATTATAAGACGGATGCACATATAAATATGAGAGCCTAGAAATGTCACATCATCACAGCATTGATTTTTCCAGTTTTATATTATCCTAAATTGCTGAGTATTACAATATTTGTCTACAAAATAAGCCAAACTTGGCATGTACATCGGTGTATTGTTCTTAACATAAACAACCACACAAGCACTTATAAAACACACACATTATTTATCACTCTGTGCAAAATTACTGTTACTCAGTGCTATGGGCACAATATGGTTGATATTCAGCCCAGCACTAGCACAAAGACACAGGTCAGCTCAAGAGGACCACATATAAACAACAAGTTCCTAACTGACACACATTCAGAGGTAGGGCAGTAAACCGTGCACGCCATCTGTCAAACGCTCATATCTGAAAGCCTGCCCTTCCCCCCAGAGTACAGTACTGTAAATAAATATCCCAGAGCTTCACCTAACATCAAGTATGAGGCCTGCACTACACCCCATGTTAACTCTGCACTACATAGAAAATAAAACATGAAACCCTGGTAGTGTGAAGGGATGAATAATGTAAAGAAAGACACAGTCCAACTGAAAATGTGTTACAGGGAAAGCAAATTATATACACTGCAATTGCAGTAGAAACTCTCTAGCAAGCTGCTGTTGATCTAACTTTAACCTGGTTCATCATTGAGGTCTATGGAGATAGTCTGAATAATTAAGTTTAGTTTTCCGGTCTGAA